AACTAATAAACGTTAAATTCATCATCATCGTTTCCACGTTATCGTTTTGAGTGTGTTAATTCGACATCGTTATGAGAGTCTCGCCAATTAATTGCCACACTTTACTTTTATCGATTTATTTCACTTTTAAACGCCTAGCAATCGTCGACGTAACAACAACGACGACTACTACTCTGCAATCCCTTTAATTTTATATATGTATATGTATATATAAATATGTGTATATATATATATATATATACATGTGTGCGACTGAGCATATTCGTATACATGTTTTTCTTTTAACTTTATTTTTTACCCTCGCTCTAACAAGCAACGAGTACTTTTCTATCGGAGAGAGAGCACAATTCGATTAACGATGGGTTTTTTACGATACAATTTATAAAATAGGATTTCTTTTTTTTTGTTTATTTTTGTTATTTGTTATTTTTAAATAAACGATCCAATATCGAAATATCCTACACACGTTGAAACATAAAATAAATATACGTCAACGATGATTGCAAATCTCGACAATTAAAACAAAAAAAATAAAATAAAATAAAATTAAAAAACAAATACGTACACGTAGAATATAAATATTAGATAGATCCAAGAATATAGGAATTTTTATTAAATTTATATATTTAAATAAAATATAAAATTGATATGCATTATATATACATATATATATTGGCAACAAAATGTTGGATATATTTTATACACGGTTTTATAATAAATAAAATAAAATATGATATATATATATATATTATTTTTATTTGTCAATTTTTCATATTTTGCATGTAAATAAAAGAAGAATGCATTTATCAACCAAATAAATATAATAGAAATTTTAAATTTTAATATTACCTATCTAAAACTCTACGTATATTTCTTACATTGAAAATTCTTAACTCATTAGCACAACACTCATCTATAAAAAAAAAAAATATGAAATTAACGAAACACAATATTTTCAAATGTCTTAACCAAAACAAAGTACATGTTTCAACAAAAAATATATAAGTAATTTAAAGTTAAAAAAAAAAAAAAATTATCAAAGTATTTGAAAATAAAGTTAAAAGAAAACCATGTATGTATAATACAAAAACAAAAACAAAAACTCAAAAAAAAAAGAAAAAAGAAAATGACATTCTCGATGCAAAACGGTATGTATCGTCGACTAACGGGTGTGTGATTTAAACGCCGCCGGAGGATGTGGTGCACCACACTAGCAATGTTAGTTGGGTTAGGGGCCTGAGGAGGGGAATGGAGGTGGGTGGTAGGAAGAAGAACGTTCGATAAAGTTATGAATTACGATGCATCGAGACTCCAAGCAAAAGGCCGACTATCCCTCGTTCAACGTTTAGTATAAAAGGTAGGGTCAAACCTTGGTGCAACCTTTCCTCTAACTTATTTTCTAACAGACCACACATTCAAGTATGATAAACGTTTGAGATTTAAAGTATCAACCTAGCAAAAAAAAAAAAAAAAAAGAAAATGTAAACAGAAAGAACAAATGAAAGAAATGAGAAATAAATCTTTGAATTATTATTTTTCCTTTTTTTTTTTTTTTCGTTCAATTTCTGTCAGTAATCCTAAACGAGAATCTTCTTGTTAGTGTATAATTAAAAAATATACTAAGTCGTGATTTTTCTGATTTCTATCATTTTTAAATCTTTCTCTTTCTATCTCTTTCTCTCTCCCTCTCTCTCTCTCTCTCTTTTTCTGAGTGGTGTATTTTTTTTTTGCTCACGTAGACAAATTTTTGTTGCCTTTCTTCTTCCACCACACGAATCGATTTCCCTCTCTCACTCTTTCTCTCTTTTGTTATTCAAACGAGACTAGTCATAATCTTCTTTTTATCCCTCGTAACGACGACGACAGAGAGATAAAAACGAAAAAGAAGAAGAAGAAGAAGAAGAAGAAGAAGACGACGACGACGATCTCTTCCTTCCGACTTGGTAATCCTCCTGAAAGCGAGTTTTCTAAACTTGAACAGAAAAAAAGGGGGAAGAAGAGAAGGTGAAAAAAAGTAAAAGAAGAAGAAGAAGAAGAAGAAAAGGTGCGGAGAAGATGGGTAGAAGAAGAGTGGGGGGGGAGAACAAGTAAAAAACTTGAGAGACAGAGAGAGAGAGAGAGAAATAGAAAGAATTGCAAGCGTGACGTTTCATTGAAATTTCACGATGAAACTTTTTGAAACGAACGCGAGTAGAGATAGATACTCGCGATACTTAGCTGCCACGCTATGTGAGAAAGCACAAAAAAAAAAATAAAATAAAATAAAATAAAGAAGAAAAAGTAGAACTAGAAGAAGAAGAAGAAGAAGAAGTAGAAGTAGAAGATGCTCTTAGAACCACGAAAGAAGAGGAAAAAGAAATAGAAGAAGAGCAAAGTCTATAAACGAACGAACATACGATCAAACTTTCATTTCAAATCATTCAGAGTATCTTATTCTCATTCTAAATCCATCAACTATGATTCATCAAATTATTCCCTCATTCGTATCATTCTTAATAAACGATAAAAACTTTTTTTTTACACGGTTTTGTCTATTATTTTTATTATTATTTTCTACGACTTTTATTTTATTTTCCTTCCCTTTGTTTTTTTCCAAACCCAAATTATGTGACATCATAATTTTATATTTAAAGTGAGTCAAGTTATATAGAAATTAACCAATCCCAATCCTTGAAATAATCAAAACCATGTAATACCATCACATATTAAGCTTATCATTATTATTTTATACTATCCTTATTTAAAATAAACAATTAAAAGGTAATTACAAATTAACATAAACTTAAATACATGGTATTTAATATTTAACTAAATATATATTTGTGTGTTTTAATTAAAATCTTTAAGCTATCGTTGCATTCGCATCTAACTAGGTTTTTATTACATTAATTAATTTAAAAAAAAAAAAAAGAAAAAGATACAATTAAAGTCTAGTGCCATCTGTTGGTCATAGATTTTTTGGCGCGAAACAACCTAATCGTTTGTTCCTAACCACTAATCTTCTAAAATACTCTACCGATTGTTTTAAAATGTTGACGCAACGTTGCATTCGCATACAGTTACGTTTTTATTACATTAATTTATTTATAAAATAATTAATTAATTTAAAAAAAAAAAAAAAGATACAAGTAAGATACCAGCACCACTTGTTGGTCATAGATTTCAGTGATTACACGAAACATTTGAACATAACCTAACTTTTTCTTTACTTTATAATCGAAAATTATTCATATGCATTAAATGTGTCTAATGACAATACGTTAAAATATTTTATGCAATTTACTTCTCACGTTGTTGTCTCTCTTTTAACGAAAGCCGATACGGATAACGTTAAATCTCTCTTTGAAAGTCACCCAACGTAATTTACGAGTCGTGATGGAAAAATGGCGAAGGTAAAAGAAGAAGAAGAAAAAAAAGACTCTGTTACTCTCTCTCTCTCTCTCTCTCTCTCTCTCTCTCTCTCTCTCTCTCTCTCTCTCTCTATCTATCTTTCATTTCATCATTAAGAGAAAGTAGTACGTTCATCCTCAGAGACTAACTCATCCCCCCATAACTCCCATACCCTTAACCCCATACCCTCTCTTATCGTCTCATAAATTACATTTCTTTTATCACCAGTCCTCCAAACGGAATCAACGTTCTTTCATAATCTCAACATCGATCCAACCCTAAGACTTCAAAAGTCTTTCATCCTCACAAAGCCCTTTTTTTCCATTCTTTTCTGGATATTAAAATAAAGGTTTGTTAACATACTTAAGAGAAAAATAAATAATGTTTCGATTTGTTTGATCATATTCTGTAAAATAAATAACAAATACTTATACATAAATATATTTTGTAGTATAAATAAAAATTATATCATCATATATACATATGACACACACATTAATATGCATCATAATTGCATATTAATATAAAAAGTACATATAATAATATTTTATAATAAATATTGATATTCTATTTATATTACAATAAAAATAATTTGATTATAAATCAATATACTATGTATCTATTTACTATGGCTCATGTGAACCAAAATATAACGTTGTCTTATAGATACAAAAATTAGGTTATGTTCAAATGTTTCGCACACTCACCGAAATCTATGACCAACAGATGGTGCTGGTATCTTACTTGTATTAGGGATCCTGTTGGAGGGATACGCCATACATATTGCTCATGTGCCATTGGCTGAAAATTTTGGGGGACCGCTTCCGATGCAACGCGCAGCCAAATACTTATAGTTTTTATTGTGATATTTATATGTAATTGTTTTGTTGATAACGCAGTGCATATATAAAGTGAAAATAGAAACTGTAAAATTATCGAGAGCACTTAGTAGTTTTCCATAAGTGTAAGTTTAATTTACTCATTTAATGATTACAAATAATATAAATGTACAAACCTAACCTATAACTTATCGTTTGTTTACAGACCTATTGTTTATGATGAATAATCATGGTTCGACAGTGTATTTTTAATTACTGCAAAAGTTCAACAAAAACTAAGCAAGACCGTCAAGACCAAAATTTTAAACAAATAAATTTCAGCTCGAGTAAAACTATGACCGTGTACCTCATTGAGAAATAAAAATATGTTAATATAAATCTATTTTTTTAATTTTTTTATATATTTGTCTTATTATTATTATTATTATTATTATTATTATTATTATTATTATTATTAATATAATATATATAGTAGATANAACAATATGAACATTTTTGAAAAATTATTTTTTCTTACCAAACAGTATGAACATTTTTGTCAAATTATTTCTTTTTACCGAACAGTATAAACCGTAAAAAAAAAAAAAAAAATAGAAAATCAAATCAATTAAAAAGTCGATTGAAGAATTTCATCGAACAGTTTCAGGTTTTGTTTCGTCAAATTAAAAAAAAAAAATAATGATAATAATAATAATAATTAATTTGTAGTTTGATCGAGAGAGATTTACCAGTCGCGAACATAACTATAATAATAATCCATTACATAGTTACTTGAATCGTCGTTCGTCGAGACGTTCAGTGTCACGTAGAAGATCCATCCTCCTTGCGATACTTTTACTGCCAAATGATCCACGTGGTTCAGCATTTTGGCAATATCCTATCAAAATGAAAAAAAACAAAATTGTTATATCTAAAAACAATAATTAAATCAACGAGACTTTGCTCAAATGCTTTTTCCATCAAACTCAAGCAAATATATTTTTTGTTCGAGACACAATTTAGATTAAATTAGATTTAGATCCACTATTATTATTATAAACTCATAATAGGTGTAATATTATTAATACTATGGCGTATGGTGGCTTCACGTTGGTGCCAAATTAAAATTAATTTTTAAATAAATATTTTTTTGTTCATTGAACATCAAAGAGAAATTCTTTATATTTTTGTTTAAATTTTTACAACTGCAAAATTTAATTACACAACCCTGTCGGGTGTCACCACCCACACTTAGGACAAACCTTTAATATATAAAAATATATATATTATATATAATGTTTTATTATTAATTAATTTATTAATTATATATAATATAGGGTTAATATATAAATAATATATAATATTATAATAAATATTATTATAATTATTATAAATATTATAATTATATATTAACCCTTTAAGTGCTATGGACGCATATATACGTTTGGTACAAATTATCAGAGTGATCTATCAACACATATACGTGCTTGTTAATATTAATGTAAAATATAATGTAATGTTTATATTAATATAATTAAATTATATTTATATAAAGAAAAACTGTAAATATTAAATATAATTCATTATTAAAATCTCATTAATAATAAACAATTACGTTTCTACAAAATATTTGAGGTTAAAGTATTCAACGCTCAAAGGGTTAATATATTCTAAATAAATTGTACAAAAGAGAAAGAAAAAGAAATAGAAAAAGAAATAGAAATACTTTTTTTCCAATTAAATTTAATTAACTAGAAAAATGAATTGAATCAATTTACATTTCTAACTTTTTGATCAGATAGTATTCATTTTTTTTTGTTTTTTTTTCTTATACCTTTTCCATAGAAATTCAACGTGATTCATCATACACCAACCATTGGTTTCATTAAATTTCATTAAATTTCAATAAAATCGTGAAAGCGAGGTTCACCCAAGCCATTCCCCAATGCGCGACAAAGTTTAATCCAAGTCAAAAGTTACTTTCAACCAATTCCACGTCCCTTTTTACCAAAGAAAAAAGTAAAAAAGGGTATAGTGTATAGTAAAGTGAGAAAGAGAAAGAGAAAGAGAAGAAGAAAAAGAAGAAGAAGAAGTTGGGATCTCTATCTTCTCTCGCATTTCGTTTTCTCCTCTACTCGAAAGTCAATGCAACATCGTTGGGGAAGGAAGGAGGAAAGGGGGGGATTACTTCACGATCTCGGTTTTAAAGTGGCTGATGGTGGTACGCCTGGTACGGTGGTGTGGTATGGTGTGGTGTGGTATGGTGAGGTGCACGTGCGCGAACATCCCTAGGATTCACTTCCTACGCTTTTCGAGAGTACGATATTGAACTTTTTACTGTTACCCTTAAAAGCTCAGTAGAAAGCAGAAAGCAGAAAGCGAACGTTCGGTCGACAAAAACAAAAATGAAAGTTCTAACTAAGAGAAAAACAAAAAGTAAAAGAGAAAAAGAGAAAGAGAGAAAGAGATAAAGGTCTAGAAACTCTTTTTGCATTTGTATAATATATTATATATTTATTATATAATAATAAATTGAGAGCATTTAATTAAAATTTGTTTATATCCTTTTAATTATAATATTATTTAATTTACACAATTGTTATTTATAATTGTAATAAATTAATTTATATAATTGGTTTGGGGGTTTTTTTTTTTTAGGTATATTGTAGTATTGTCAAGTGTTCGATTTTAACGACACAAATCAATTTTAATTTGTTTAATAATAATGTAAATGTTTATTTATTAATTTAATTTAATTTAATTTAATTGAATCATGTAAAAACACAAATTCTTACACGTTTCAAAATTTGTACAACTGTAAATAATAATAATATGAAAAAAATACTATAATTGTTTTTTTTTAGGTATATCGTATTGTCAAGTGTTCGCTTTTTACAACACAAATCAATTTTAATTTGTTTATTAATAATATAAATGTTTATTAATTAATTTAATTTAATTGAAGCACGTATAAACACAAATTTTTACAAGTTTTAAAATTTGTACAACTATAAATAATGATATAAAAAAAAAAAAAAAAAATACTAAATAAATAAACACACTTGTGATGATAAAGTTAAAATCGCATAAAAAAAAATATTGTTAAAATATACATTAATCATTCGTTCATTTGTTTGTTTGTTTTTTTTTTTTTTT